AAATTATAATACGACTATGAATAATACGAAAAGTATGACATATATCATAATATGCAAATTAGTTGCAACGTCGTTACAACTCAAACATCAAAAGTAATGTATTCGATATGAAATCTTATATGTATCTCTCAAGAAGTAATAAATCTTGAAAGAATTTCAATATTAGAATTTGATATTTTACTTGAAATACTCCTTTTATTTAATATAATTTCTATTTGAAAGGGAATTTATGTAAAAACATAATTCACTATTTAAATATGATTCTCTAGCATTATTTATTTTTAAGTTTTAACAAGTTAATAAACTCACACATAATTCATCATACAATATCATGATAACTAATTATTTGTAAATGGTTACTAGCTAATATTGAGATATTAAATTAATAAGTACTGTATCTTGTAAACGTGAAAAAAATAATATTTCGAAAAATAACTATAAAAAAATTATGGACTATTATATAGTAAAGACATAATAAAAGTTAATAAATAAATACTTTCAAAAAGAAAGATTTATTTAAAAAATTTACTATCATAGCAGTCTTGGTGGATAACGTGCAATAATTTTTATTTTAATTATGACATAAAATACTCTCAACTTAATGATTTATGATTAAGAAAAAAGTAATTTTGAATAGTCAATGATTTGGTAAGAAAATTTGAGGATTTACAAGTTTAGTTACATACAATTGCATAAAGTTCTATTAGGCGAGCCCAGTGCCCTGGGTGTTGGGCGTGTCCGGGGCGTAAGCCTCGATGGCCGAGGCGTAAGTCTCACGGAAACTAAGCCCCACACATAAGACCAGGGGGTTTTACGAGTGCTCCGCCCCGGGGCGAGCCCAGGGCGAGTAACAATTCTACCTTGTAAAACAGAGTTTGTTATATATGGATGTTGTTATAGAGAGATTTGACTGTGTGAAAATTAAGTTGAGAGAGAAAGTAGAGAGAGAACGTCTGGCGAATGTGAAGCAAGGCAGCTTACAGACGCCATTAACGACCTAGCTCTACTCCTTTACTACAATTATTACGGAATTTCTACAAAATCTTACTGAATTCACTAAGATGACGAGAGTAATTACGCCGGAAAGTGGAATACCAAAAAAATTAGCACCGATGCAACTGTTACATTGGCTCCCTGGCATGGGAAGTGCTCCGACGGTAATGCAAGCTCCACCAGAAGTAGAGAAGACGTCCATGCAACCGGAGGAAGCGACGATGTTTACAGCAGCAAGGAAATTGACATACTCAATTGGATCTCAAAAGCAGACTGTGGCGGAAGCAGTAAAAGGGAATAGAACACAAACACAGGGCATGCAATTAAAATTCTATCCACCGATGGTGAAGGATGGCGTGAAAACGGCAAAATTAAACACGAAGGAGATAGAACTGCAAGTTCAAAAATGGAAAACAACTTTAATAGGGTATGTATTGGGTGGAAATCCATCATTTAAAGAGATGTTAAAGTTTGTTTATGGTGTATGGAATTTTGTTACAACTCCAACAGTATTAATGCACGATGATGGCTATTTCATTTTTAAATTCGAATCTATGGAGGACAAAGAGAGGGTTATGCAGCAGGGACCGTATACAACTAACAATAGGCCTATGATTCTAAAAGATTGGGATCCAAATTTCCAGATCAAAGAAGAATCTATGAGAATTGTACCACTGTGGGTCAATTTTCTAGGTCTGCCTATCCAATGTTGGACTGAGGAAAACCTAGGAAGGATTGCTAGCCTTCTAGGTAAGCCAATTTGTACTGATAGACTAACTGCGGAATGTGAGAGGATCTCATATGCTAGAGTTCTAGTTGACATGGATATCACACAACCATTACCAGAGGAAGTCCACATTGAAATCCCTAGTCAAAAAAGCTGGATTCAAATGGTAGAATTTGAGTGGAAACCAAAATTCTGCCTAGAGTGTAACAACTTTGGGCATGATAAAGGAAAATGTCAACAGATGGAGGAACAAAAAGAAGAAGTCAAACAGAAAAGAGGAAGAAAGAAGAGGAAAATGATATGGAAGCCAAAGGAAGTGAATGAACAACAAACAGATACATCTGCATAGGAAGGGAAACAAGAACTAGATAAAGGCAAGCAAAAGATGAACACACAAATTCTGAAGCATAACGGAG